CCGAAGCATGCTTTTATCTTATGGCTTGCTTGTTTAGATAGGCTGGCGACAAGATCTAGATTGAGAATTTGGGGTGTTATTGAAGATAGCACATGTGTCCTTTGTGAAATCTACAATGAGACCAGGGACCATCTTCTCTTTAACTGCCCTTATAGTCAAGATGTGTGGAGACTGGCATTTCAGAGGCTTAGTGCTCCTTATATGGGGTTTGGAACTTGGGAGGTCTTTGAACGTTGGTTGAGGAGAGGTTTTCAAAGCGCCCCAGAGAACTTACTACGGCTTCTTATGGCTCAGGAGGTCATTTATGACATTTGGAAGGAACGCAACGAGCGTATCTTCAACAACAAATCTCTACCTGCGGAGGTTTTATTCAAAAAGGTGGATAGAGGAGTTCGGAATGCATGCCTTGCTCGGTTAGACAGGCCACATTTCTCGGACTCTCTTGTTTTATGGTTCGGAGGTACTCAACCTCTAATGTAACGTTTTCTTTTCTGTCTTACCTTCATGGTCTGTGACCCAAGGTCTCCTTCTTTCTCCTATATACTTATGTAACATTTTCGTAGTAATACAACCAGAAATTTAAAAAAAAAAAAAAGAAACCGAGAGGTCCAGAAAGAGAAACCGTGTTGCACAAGACAACTTGAACCAAACTTTTTGTATGCAACAGCAAAAACCTTTTCCAGTGATGTACCAGCAGATGTTAGGATGCACATGCAGCGATACATGGACATGTGTGGGGCTCAAAATCATTTGCTTTAGAACTTTCCCCAAACGCAGCCAATCAGCATCATACACATCTATCTTTTTCCCTATAAGGCTTTTGTGTGTTTTTCCTTGTTGCATAAGTTTTACTTTTCTGCATTTTTCTTAATTATGGTCCAAGTCTGTACTTATTCTAGTTAAGAGACCTTAGGTGCTTTGTAATCGATACCTTATTTTTGATTAATACACATGATAATTGTTTCTTCTGCAAAATAAATAGTTAAGTTACGCAAGATATATATATTCTTGGAAACTCTAGCTTGGCTTCGAAAAGTATCACTCAAACATACGTCCGAAGAACATGATATAATCTTCTCCTTGGTTCGATTGTTTGGTGGAGTTTGAACCACACATATGTCTCTGGTAATCAAGTTGCCCATGCAATTGCTGAGAGTGTTATCAAAGACGGTCGCCACCAATCCTACATTGCTAGGAATGGGCCGAGTTGGCTTCAGCAGATTATAGCGGCGGAAGTCTTATGAACCAAACTCTTCTCGGTCTGGGCTCCTAATGCATTTGTAGCCATAGGCTGGTTTGGTAAGCTTTGTGTATCTCCTTGGTCGAGATTGGCAGCTCATCGTATGGTCTTATGGTACCTACTGTTGAGCAAAAGTCTCTGAATCGAACAGAGACTCTCTCTATGGGTCTTGAGCAAAAGTCTCTGAATCAAACAGAGACTCTCTCTATGGGTCTTTACTCACAACATAAGCCCAAGAAGCTTACCACGAGGCCCATGAAGACTACCTTATCCGAACCAAAGAAGATACAAGAGTTATCTTCTCCAAAAGCAGAGAAGGCCGTTGCAGGACGATGCTGACAAGTGTCAGAGGTAACCAGGAGAAACCCTAAGCTGAATTTATGTATAAATACTCTTGAGCTAAGCTTTGTAAGGAGAAGGGGAAAAATGCATCAATAAAGAAACTCTTTTTCATTAGCTACGAGCTGTATTGAGTTTTCTTACACCTACCGGTACTTTTCCTTTGTTTCTTACATTCTGTTGGTCTT